TTTGCAAGAGCACCACTAACTTGTTCTGGCCCTGGCTCAGATCCTTACGCGATCTACACCGGCAGAAATAGGTCGAGAGAAGATGCAGCCGAGCACAGCCGAATTCAAGCTCATTATCGGATGATCCGTGCGAACTGGGAATCTGGTCCTGTAAACTTCACTAGCAGCTCCCCTGTCACACTCCCAGTCACCTCTTGGCCTTAGCCTGAGTCTGACCTGCGAGCTTCTAAACTGCATCCGGATTCAGAACCGGTGCTTGCTTGGCATCAGGCTATCTGCCACGAGCAGGCCGATCTCTCGAGCTTGCTGCTCAGCCGTCTCCTGCGGAAGGGAGACGCTCTCTGCTGAATGGGCTAGGTCATGCTAGATCTGTTCTAGGCAACTGCTGTCGGCTTGCCGAGGACCCTGGCCTATGTAGCCACAAGAATAAAAAAGGGCATGCCATGCCCACTTGCCTTGCAGGTCTTTCGAAGACTCCAGGAGCTGATGCTCCAACTCGCCGTTGTCCTGGAAGAACCCCGAACATCGCTGAACTTTGAGATCAACCTTTCATGTCAATAGAGATAGAGGATTCATCGAGATCTGCTCTTCGCTTCAGAACAGGATTCAGCAGTTCCCATCCGAGCCGCCATGTTTCCACAGTCTTCATGGCCCCAGGTCACCTGGGACCGGTCTTGCTTTTGTCAAACTCTAGGGGGTGCAAGAAGCAGCAGGCTTAAATGATTGTCGAGACACCAACGAATCAAAGCCAGTCAAGGCTGCAAAGGCCCCACCGGACGCCACCACCTGCACCCGAGACTACACGCCGACGCCCCCATCAAAATGTAGGTCGAGTTGAACAACACCATGGGCGCGCGAAACTCCCTTGCTCTAAGCGGGACAGAACTGCCGAACTGAACGTCATGAGCCAGCCTGCTGCACCATCATCAGCCTCTCCTAGACGGCAAACATCTTCTTTACAGTAGCACCTCTAAGGGAGCCACAAGTGCTGGCAGGAGCAAAACAGTCCGCCTCTCCTGAACCCGCGAGCTGTCACCGCCATATTCTGGATGACCCCAGGTCACGACTGTACCATCAACCTGCTGTGAGAAGAGGATTTTGCAGCTGTCAACACAACAGAGAAAGCCGCACAACCACCATGCAGCCCTACAAAAGGCGCTACATGTCAATGCCTTGGTCCAAGGACAGGGAAAGCTTCGGATGCCCACCTTGAGCGCAGCGAAGGCACTCTCTGTGGCAGCCACCTGGAAAGCTGAAAAGGCTTCGAACTCGGAAAGTATGTGGGCCTAGATGCCAACAACAGAATCAGCATGCGTAACAAGATCTTTTTGCTTATTGAGTGCTTGCATCCAACAAGTGACCCGCGACTCACCAGTGAAAGTGTCCGAAGGCACAAATACAAGAACTGTTTCTGAAATGCTGGAACGACAAGCCCACACGATCGTCATGTTTAGCAAAGCCACATGATGAGGGTGGCAAAAGCGACACGAGAGGAGGCTGTGGACTCTGATCAAACAAGCAACTAGCCTTAGCTGGAACATGGTCACCAGCAGCCTCGACCACGTCCACGAGGTTGTCTCGGACGCAGCTGCTGTTGCCACCGTACTCCTCAGGCTAAAGGACCGACTCTATGAACTCACAGTCGGACCCGAGCACAAATTCCAGTACTATGGTCCGTCGACAGACACACCGCAACGCCTCACATCAGAAAGACGTTGGGCCACTTCTTCGAAACCGGATCTTGCAAGCTGTCATTTGTCTTTGCCCGTGTTGGACAAGGCCCCTTCCGTTGTCGAGTACTGCCTGGCACAGTCCCACAAAGCACAACTGCTATTCTTGCAATGGGAGTTTGCTAAATCACTGTTGATGCCATGCAACAACTGAACAGCATGACCTACCGACCACCGACGACGGCTCGAATGCACTACAACAAAACCCAAAAATTGCATATGAAACTATGTATAAAGTATTCAAACGTACCCGAACGGGCCACTTGTGCAGAAGTGAAGTTCCGCTCCCCTTACTGCACCTCAACCAGGCATTATCTGCTCCGCTCTGCGATTGCACAGAACAGACAGAAACATGCAGCGAAGCGATAACGTCCTGAAGCGACAGTGCTGTGCTGTTTAGATACTTAGTACCCGACCTGCCACCGAGAATCAGAATCGCCCCATGTCGCGACCGTGCCATTCGCCCTAATGGCTGCGAAAGCCCCGCCGTTTGCACGCACACTGCGCACTTGCAGCAGCTGCTCTTGTGTCGCAGCTGCATCTCCTCCCAGTTCCTTCAGCCCCCATGCTGTGACATGTCCGTCATCATGGATTGCAGCGAAGGCCCCAGCCGTTGCTTCGATGCGCTGGACATGACTGAGCGTTTCAGCCAAACTTCCGTCTGCCCCCATGTCGGGATCACCCCAAACTATGACAGTGCCGTCTCGACGGACGGCAGCGAAGGCTGCTGAAGTCGCCTGGATCTGAACAACTTCTGTCAACTTTTTCGCGACGGCACTGCTGTCACCACCATGTCGAGCCTTTGGTTGGCATTTTCATGGAATGCTACAACTGGTCTATACTTAGCAACTTGCAAATGCTAAAGGCAGATGAAGGTGCCGATCCCCAGGTGACCACCGAGCCATCGGCAGAAATGGCTGCAAATGCGGCGCCCGACCCACAGAGCTGCACAACCTTTGTGAGCTTATCGCGGACATCCGAGCAGTCGCCGCCCCAGTCCTCATCGCCCCACGTCACGACAGAGCCATCGCCTCTGCAGCGCAGCTTCTACAAAGAGAGCGGCACGCGATTCAACTTCATCTGCATGCACTGCTCCGACCCAAGGTGGACGGCCGGGCGGCTTGGGAGGTACAGCAATATCAGATTTCCATTGGCACTTACTTGGTGGCAGGCTTGAGTGCAGTTTCCAGTCTCGAAACCTCTACTGTCTGCGGGCTCCAAACATAGGGGGGATTAACACACCTAGCCGCATTTCTAGATGGCCGCAGGCTTTGGTAGGTGCTTCGAAGTGTTACGCTTAGCCCTGAGGCACCGAGACCTAGCCTTCATGGGCAAATGCTGCCTTTCGCGCACTTAAGCGCCCAGCCGAATCTGGGACCTTCGGCAGCCCACCCTCATCCCACAACCGCGTTTCTATCCGCACCTTTGACAACGAAGAGATTCCAAATCGTCAGGTCTAAAAGTGAAGTCCTATGCTTGCTACTATGCTATGCCGCTGTGCCAGTATTTGCTTGGGAGTGCAATCTGTACGTCTTAAAATCTCAGCCACTCGAAAATGTCTCAGTTCCCGGCCTCTGCAAGCAGCAAATGCACCGGCGGTGCTGCTAATAAGCTTGACATCGAAGAGTTCGTCCTCGACGTCGCTGCTGTCGCCTCCAAGATCCTCACAACCCCAGGTGACCACACCTCCGTCTTTTCGAATGGCCGCGCAGGCCCTGACGGACACATGCACCTCTCTCACATCTACCAGCTGGCTCTGTACACAACTGCTGTCACCACCACTTTCCTCCTCTCCCCAAGTCAACACAGTTCCGTTCTCACGAACCGCCGCGAAGGAATGAGCTTGCCGACCGGAGAAGATGTTGATGGAGGGCTTTCTCGCCAAAGCGCACACAAGGTCTCCACTTCGAAGACCTTCGCCGTGCAGCGTACTCGAGTCATGTAATGCCTTGGTAGCAAGCAGACTGCAGAGCAAAGGGATTCCACTGACACGGCATGACACGACCATCTAGCAAAGCAAAAACTGTGGCTTTCCGAGGCAACCCAGGTGCTCGAGACTCTCCTTGGGCTACGAGTACACCCAAATGAGTCTCCAGCTTTGCCTCCGCAACCTTTCTCAGGTCTTCCACGGAGCAGTGCTTCTCCAGATTCACCGACGCACTGTGCCCACTAAGCAAAGACACAGAAAGCGCCAAAGTCATACTTTTCCGTAGGTTCCAGGACTCTGGTTGTCAGGTCCTGATAAAGCCTGCAAAGGCTGCGGCGAACTCTGCTATCGCTACGAACCCAAGTCGCTGCTTGTGTGAAGTCTGACACGGCTTCTGCATAATAATGAGACGGCACTGCTCAGACTCGGATGTTTCTGCCTGGTCCAGCAGCAGCCGCCCAGATATCAAGCAATGCTTATGCTGATCAGTATATGCCTGAAACTTGTTCTGTCGTCACGTCTTCTTGCTACTCGAAGCTTCGCTGCCGTTGCCAGTGCCTCCTTCGGTCCATCGACAAGTGTCAGCCTAAAGTATCAGGACAACACCTCCAGACGCATCTTGAGACCGCAGCTTTGCAAATTCGGAGACGCTTCCGACTCGAGAAGTGAAGTCACCCAGTGCCTGCACACGCGAAGCAGACTGACTTTTGCAGGGACCGTGTGAGCAACGGCAGCCAAGCTCTTTTCGAGTGATAGGTGAGTTGTGGGCATGTGGAGCATGGCCTTTGAGGTTGCGGATGGAATGTTGGATGCTCCGGAGATAACCGCTGCTCCGGAGATAGCCTGAAAACACGCAGATCTGCAGTCCATGCAATGAAACTCATGCATCTATCCAGGGACTTGGCAAGATCACAGTTTACGAACGAGACAGAACCGCTACATCCAACTTCCGATTGCTCGGGCCCGGACGTTTTGGATGCCTGACTGGTACACAAAAGGAGCAAACGAGGTGCCGGCACAGCCACATGCCCAGCTACACGACGCCAACCAACTCAGACACTTTCGCTTTGGAGTGTGCTCAACTTGGCGCTGGCTCGTAAGCATAACACTCCGACCAGCCTGCACAGGCATCCTTCGTGCATGCGCCTGCCATTCGACACATGCCATAGCGAGACAGTGAAAAGGCAAAATTTCTCAAGACTTGTCGAAGACAAAACTTGAAACGGCAGCAAGATCGCGTCCGCAGGCAACATGATAGAGACAAGGCATTCATTCCGAGCATGGTCAACTGAGTTACTGTCATGCGCAACTTGGCAGCTTGGCAGCAGCTAAAGTTCGGAGTGTTGATCGTGTGCGGCAGCTTACGACTTGCGCCGATATGACCGAAAGGATCCTGGAAGGAGGAAATCACGCATCTTCGATCGCGCGAAACAGCAGAAACAGCCGGTTCTGTTCGAGATGGACGCATACAAGAAGACAAGTGCTGCAAGGCTGCTTCCGGGATGTTTGCAAACAAGAATGACAAGCCTTCTGGGTTTTGCTTGTGGAACTCGCATTAGAGTCGGCACCTAGCTTCACCGCTCTACGTGCTCGATGCAATTTCCAGAAGAACAATAAACCCGCCTCTTCCAAAGCGGAGTCATGCTCCTTGGCACGCAGACACTCCGGTGCCACAGGACTGCACTCAACAGATGTGTGCCAAGATGTGACCCCTCTCCAATTTAGACGACATCTCAACTCGACAATTCCAATGCCAATGCCAAGGATGCAGCGCCCCCTACGAGCGGCGGCGTCAGCATCCCTTGGTGCAGTGAAGGTCATAAAAATCGCCACACAGCCACACAGATAAGATACCGCAGCACACGGAAACCACCAGAAGCATCAAGAAAACGAATGAACAAGCCCGGTCGTACTCTTCAAGTGCTGCACCGAGACCACGCTCAGCAGGGGCGGAGTTCGGCCGCTCCTAGCTTTAGAAACGATGCCTATGAGCAGCACATGACCCTATACAGTACGAACCAGCCTGCGCACGGAAGGGATCGCCGAAAGTGAAGCTGTTGGCATGCGGTCGATCCTGGTATGTTGCTGGCGCAAGACAGAGAAGCTGTGCATGTGAGAAACACCGGTACACTGTTCTTCCCGGGGTGAAGCGATTTACCTGAACCGGTCGAGAAACTACGACTCCGGCAGGATTGACTGGATACCAGGTCACACCACTCCGTATCCCAATTGTCGAAATGTTTGGCTGCAGCTGCCTGGTCCGACAACAGCTGCTCGGCCTGTGAGACGTGCTAGCTGCCGTCACCAACAACTTGCACGGCCAGTGTATGCCACTGCAGTCGAGCCGACATGCCCAGCCGACTCGCGCCTCTTTGTTGGGGGCTGGAGACCCGATAGGACTCAAGGAGGCAGCACCTTCCGGGCAACATGACATGACAGATAGATTAGCAGTACGGCTTCTGAAACTCCTGGAGCTTCCTGCTGAGCCTCGTCCGAAGAAGATTTCTGTTCCCAAAACCTGTGCACCAAGGGATTCCAACACCGGCCTGGCGAGCGCTTTTGCCAGCTGTACCTTGCGGGACCTGCAAAGGAGCGGCCCACTTCCGATGGCTTCAAGATGTAGCAAAGACGAGACTATGACGTCGCGTAGAAGCAGAAAGCAAACGTTGCTATGGATGTGACACAGGAACATGAGTCTCTTCGTGATCAACATATCAGCTTAAAGGTCTTGCGAAAGAACGTAGTCCTGCAGCCATGCATGCATGGCCTGTCGGTTCGGGCGTTGTCGTTCGACCCAGCACCCCGGCCTCACGGCAAACACACATGCGCATGAACACTGCCCAATGGTCGTACTCCGGTGGTCATTACAACCGAACTTTGCATCCAAACCTCGTCCTCGCGAATTGGCGCGATTTCGGTGCTCATGGGCCAGAACCCATACCTGAAATTCATACATCCATGCGACGCAACGAACCAACACTTGCTTCCATACACTGTAAGCCCCTGACAAGAAACACTGTAGAAAGGACTACAAACTATTAATTATGGATCCGAACAACAAGCCCTCAAAGAATGGGGCTCGTGAATCAGGGGTCAACGTTTTGCAAATGTCATTGCAGCCAGCTTGCTGGACTCTGGTTCCAGTCGCAACGTGTTTGCGCCCCTCCAGCCCCCGGGCGCTGTGAGAGATGCTAAACTGTCGCATACGGCAAGATCGGCCATCCTCGTGGGTTGCAACATAGCATCGACGTCTGAGTCTGACTCCAACTTATCAATGGCAGCATAGTGCCCGATGACGACCAATGGTAGCGTCATTATTGCGAACGAAATTTGCGCCTTAAAAACAAAGAAATAGTGCCTTCGATCGGTCGACTTGAAACGTCACAACTGAAGGAAAAACTCCCTGCACAGCTTGCGCGGGCGGAAACGTGCGAGCCCACGTATCTAAAAATTCCAATCATGACTTTTGCAAACTGCTTATGATTGTTGCCAACACAGATCTCCATGCTGCCAGAAAACAAAATGCCGAAAGAGGTGGCCCGCAAGCAATACGTACTTGCTTTTGACAAGTTGCTTTGCGATCAACGGACATGTCAACACTAAGAACACCTGCACCCGTTTAAGCTTGTAATGGCTTGCACAACACGTTTCTGCTCTGGACAGCTCTGGATTCTAAGCGCACTTGTCGATGATGTTACACAATTCAAGAAAAGATTCGCTCACGCTGCGAAGACAATCACCACTCTGGGGGTCAGGCAAGCTTCAAGGTGTTTTAAAAGACGCGCAACACGAAGACTTTGTGCAGGATGTTCCAAAATGCTCGTAGAATGAACACAACAAGACAGAACATGTTTGAAAGAGCCATAAGAAACTGTTGCACACGACAACGCCGCAGATACTTCAAAGTGCAAACAAAACTTCCAAGCTCGAAATTGTTTTGTGTTTGTGGAAAAATGATAACATAAGTCCAAAAATCCCGTCAATTCTTTTGGCAACCAAAGATTACCCCTCAAACAAACCATCAATTCTAAGGCACTTTCCACTGCAAAATACACGAAATAAACAGAAAACACGTCAAAACTCTTTTCAAACTCGCAACACCAAAGAGAAACCAAGCAGATGTTTGGAGAATTGATATTTGCAGAAACGCAAAGCATCCAAGAGAAAGTGCTGAAAACACGAAAACTTGTTTCCGGACATCGGTTTGCGGAGCTGTTTGGAAGTGACCTTACAGGCTGTGTTTTTGAAGAATGTTCCAAATCCACACAAGAACAGCTATCTAGAGAAGTGGAGGTCCCTTGGGCCCGAGAGAGATCAGACCACCCACAAATTGCCTCTGCGTTGTAAGTTGCCTTCTTGTGACCACAAACGCATGCTTCAAGCAATGAGGGGAAAAGAGGCCACAAACATGCAGTTTCAGGCCCTAAGCCAGAGTGGTAAAGAGGCCACGGAAAGTAAAAGAAACTAAAAACAGATTTAAACCAAGGTTCAAATCCAACTGCAAGCCGATGGCAATAATGGAAGTGTCTTCTGTTAGAGAAGCTAAAACGGAAAAAAATAAAAGACATTCGTTTCGATCAATGCGCAGCAAAAATCAATAAATTTTTCGAAAACATGACACAAAAAGCAAAAAAAATTCGTTCTTCCGGTCTTCACAATCCTCTCAATGGTTTGACTACTTCTTTTATCATCTCCGTTTTGTTTGTTGCTCTTGCATTTTCCACTCGATGCGCGGAATGGCTAAAGCGTCCAGAATGTTCACCTCCACCATTCCTCTTTCCCGGAAGTTGCAACAGCCAGCCAGAAAGTTAAAAAATGCTCTTTGCATCGCGTGCTGCTCCGGGTGCTGATGAGCCTGCTAACTTTTCTGAAAGGTTCTCAGGGCTGTTCTGTCTAGTTTCGCTTCCATCAAACAGACAGCAGTGCTGTCGACTTGCTTGTTACGTGTTCACTTGAAAGAAGTGACACTGGTGGGGCCACATTGGGGGGGGCATGGGATTACGGGTGGACAGTGGCGGCCGAGTGTCGGTGACTTGGCAACCAAGTTAAAAAGCCATGCAAGACCAAGCCACTTGTGGATAGATTGATGTGAAAAGAGCTTTCCATCCATGGGAGAGCTGGACCGAGCACTGTTTTGAAAAGTATTAATGTATCCAACAGAACAACTACAGTTAAGTTGAGCAAATCCTGCAAGTGTGTGTGTTCTCCAGTGCACCTGGATACCTTTATTTGTACTGCGAAAAAGACGGAACTACAACCAAGCCCCAGCAAAGCACTCAACCAAGCACAACACTCGGACAGAAACTTCGTTTTGCCTCACTCGGCCACGCAGTTCCGGTCTTGAGCCAACGTAGGCACAAAGTCTTGCAGCAAACTAAAGGCGCAAACTACCGACAGGTGGTTTGGAGCTCTAAACACTTCCCCTAAGGCAAAACGGCCCTCAGGTACTACCAGACTCAACTAAAACGTCCGAAAGCGAGGGAACCTACAGAGACTACAGCCCTGAAGCGAAAAGTGCCCCCTCACACTCCAAGTGGAAGGAAACTTGCTGCAACCTGTTCTGGTTTCCACAAACTTAAAATAGTTGAGCCGGACGCCCACCTTATCCTTCAGACAGGGATACCTGTTTACACCTCCTCTGGGCGTTCGGGTCAGCCATCCTTCTTCACAGCGGCTTTAAGCTTGGAAGGCTCCCGTGCACAGAAACTGCAGATCCTGCGACTAAGCGGAGTAGTGTGGCGAATGCTAGGACAATCACGCTTCACGTGATAGCAAACACCCCTTGAGGTAAGGAAAAGTTCTGGCCACTCTTCTGGCTTTGCCAAGAAGCCACCGTGTAGGTACTGACCAACCCCGAGGCAGACGCACCCTACTAGAAACCCTGCGGCGAAAGCGACAGCGAGTAGTCTCTCCAAGAGCTGCTCACCATCCTGCCCGCTTGGCGAGGAGAAAGAAACCATGGCATCCTTGAAAGCCTGGAGACCGTAGTGGTCCATTCCGGCGGGACTACCATCCACTAGAAAAATTCCGAGGCGAAATGGCTGAGGCAGACCCTCCAAAACCCTTCTACACAGTAGATCCGGATAGTGTTGAGTATCCCTGAGCACGAAGCGCAGAGAGTGCTCATGCTTCTTGTCGCACCTCAAAGCATCCAGGTTTGCCGCAACCCCGTCCCTCCAGCGCTTCGACACCGGAAGCCCGTCGCACCCCAGAAGCCCCACAGAGCACGCGTCCACAAGAGTCTCGTGGATCGGATATTTCTGTAGCGTAAAGTACAGCTTTGTTTGCTTCCATCATGCCGCGACCCGTTGCTTCCGTTGCGATGTCGAGAAGATCTCCTCGAGTCTCCTTCCTCGTGCCATCGTCTGAAGCGGTCACCGTCAACACGTGGATCTTCGGAAACTCCTTAGCACAGACCCTGGAGAACCCCGACTCCAGCGGCGCACAGAACTCAACAAACAGCCACTTTTGTCCCTGCTTGGGCCGAAACCGTTCCCTCAACGAAGAAACCCGCCTCTTGCGCAACGCAAACGCAAAATCGACATAGCCAACCCCTTTACCCCCTTCTGGAAGCAAGGTGGAGCGCAAGCCGATGTGATGCATATGCCGAAGCATCGAGGCCAGGTCGAGGTTTTTGGTAAATGTATCGGCCAAATGGCCGTGCCACGCACAGACACCACACGGAGGGACTGAGACTGAACCTCCTGAGCGTATGTCTATGTGGCGAAGTTTGCGAAGGCCCTCGGCATGACTGATAGCGACGGCGGCTTCACTGTCACAGTAGAGAAGAGGCACAACCGGGTCGCAACCCAAGATGTGTTCGACAGCGGACCTCGCTCCCAAAGCCTCTTTGGCACCCTCGACTAAAAGAGCAACCGATTGCTGAAGCCTCGCCCATATCTAGACGCAGGCCTTCCCCAACATAAGGCAACCGCTCGAGATGGACTTCCGGTCGGACTGAGCGCTCACTACCCCACGAGGCGTCCACATAGGAGTGGAGCTTGAGCTCTTTTTCTTCTTGGCGCGGAAAGAGCTGAAAGTAATTCACTACGGTCTTGAAGCACCTAAGCACAGCTCGCATAGCTCGTTCATGCACCTTTTGAGGCGAGCTCTGGCCCCGAGCCAGAACCGAAACGAAGTGACCAGGTCCACGTGTGGCCGTGTGGAGTCACAGAGCCAAAGAATCATCATGCAGGCGCTTCGGCGGAGCCAACCGTCTTGACCCGGCCTTTGTTGTAGCCTTAGAGCATGTTTTTGACGCATGCGGAGAAGAGTTGTTCCAGTCTTCAACTCGACACGAACGGGCCCTGTACTGCCCGCTTCCAATCAAGAAAAAAGACTGGAGCAGACGAAGCGTGGACTCAGAAGATATCGAGAGGGATGTGTGTCCTTCTTGCCAAGGCGGAGTGTGAAGTTCCAGAGGGCACGACTTCGCATGCAATCAAGAGCACAACTCTTAGCTGGTGAGCGAACTTACACTGCTGAAAAAAAAAAAACAATCAAAAACAGATCAAATGTTTCGACACATGCTTGCACTGCAACGGACCGTGTCTACTTCTTTCGAGAGGCAGAACTCACATGTGCAGTGAAGGGCGAAGCGCAACCGAAGGTTGGAGTTGCAGTCGCTTTGCATCCTAATATTGCCTTAAGGGGGGGCTTTGAAGAGGGAGGAGCTTCAAGGAAGGGTTGAAAGGGGGCTTAAGGCAGACTTGAAGCGGAGTCTCAAGGGGAGTTAAACTCAAACAAGACTCAAAAGAAGCAGAAGCCACGTGAAAGGAATCTAAAATGAAACAAACAACAAGCTTAA